ATTTTCCGATATATTTTATTTCTTCTTTCTCTTTCCTTCCCTTCCACCCATTCACCCACGCTCTCTCTCTCTCCCCATCACTCACCGTCTCTCTGCCCCTCTCGCAATACACTCCTCGTAATTAAACTCAACACGTCAACCAACTTAACCATAAAATTATTCCTTCACCCAAATTAATTATATTGACATTTTTTACACACAATTATTCCATTTAATTTCGTCCTCCCCAAAAATATTATAATATTTAATTGTTGCATCTGAGTGTTTTTTGCAACATTGTGCGATGTTCAAAGAGATTTTTTATTTCATTTTTTTTTTTTCGTAGTCAGAATATTATCAATTATTATTATTAAATGTTTGTGTTGTTGGGAGAAGCGTGTGGTGTTGTTTACGTCTGCCTGTGTGTCTGTTTGTGTGTGAGAGAGAGAGAGAGAGAGAGAGAGAGAGAGAGAGAGAGAGAGAGACATTCACTTTCAACCTTTAATAAGCCTACAACTCAAAATATTACGAGCTGTCCGAGTTGACTTTTTTGTTTGTGATGAAATAACTACAATACTGTGATGCTTAGGCCCATATGCAAGATCAGCCGTGGTGTATACCAGTACTGCAAGCTACAAGACCATCCCAGTTGGAGGGCACCAGGTGAACGAGGGACACCAGGTGAACGAGGCACAAGGTAGAAACCAGAACGACACCAAGTGAACGAGGGACACCAGGGAACGAGGGACACCAGGTGAACGAGGGACACCAGGTGAACGAGGGACACCAGGTGAACGTGAGGACACCAGGTGAACGAGGGCATTGGTGAACGAGGGACACCAGGTGAACGAGGGACACCAGGTGAACGAGGGGCACCAGGTGAACGAGGGGCACCAGGTGAACGAGGGACACCAGGTGAATGAGATTACCAGGTAATGGGGGATACCAGGTGAATGAGGGACCCAGGTAACGAGGGGCACCAGGACGAGGGCACCAGGTGAATGAGACACCAGGTGGGCAACACACCAGGTGAATGAGGGACACCAGGTAATGAGGGCACCAGGAACGAGACACAGGTGAATGAGGGCACAGTGAATGAGGGGACAAGTGAACGAGGCACAAGTGAATGAGGCACGGTGAATGAGGGGCACAGGTGAATGAGGGACACAGAGGGACACAGGTGAATGAGGGGACAATGAGACACAGGGGACACAGGTAGAGGGGACACCAGGTGAAAGAGGGACACAGGTGAGGGGCACCAGGTGAATGAGGGGACACTAGGTGAACGAAAGAGGACACAGAATGAGGACACCAGGTGAATGAGGGAACCAGGTAAACGAGGGACACCAGGTGAATGAGGACACCAGGTGAACGAGGGCCCAGGTGAATGAGGGAACGAGACACCAGGTGAACGAGGGGCACCAGGTGAATAGACACCAGGTGAACGAGGGGCACAGCAAAATGAAACAAGAAATGAGGGCACAGGTGAATGAGACACCAGGTGAAAGAGACACAGAATGAGGGACACCAGGAATGAGGACACCAGGTAGAGACACTAGTGAACGAGACACTAGGTAATGAGGGACACCAGGTGAATGAGACACCAGGTAACGAGGGCACAGGTGAACGAGACACAGAATGAGATACCAGGTAATGAGACACAGAAGAGGGACACAGGAATGAGACACAGGTAAGAGATAGGTGAACGAGGGTTTCAGAATGAGGGGCATTGGTGAAGAGGGCACCAGGTGAACGAGGGACACCAGGTGACAGGACACTAAGGAATCGAGGGACAATGAATGAATGAGGACACTCAGGTGAATGAGGGACACCAAGAACAGGGACACTCAGGTGAATGAGGGACACAAGTGAATGAGGGCATAGGTGAATGAGGATGCTGGTGAATGAGGGACACAAGGAATGAGGCAGGTGAACGAGGGACATTGAACGAGGGGACACTAGGTGAACGAGGGACACAAGTGAATGAGGGACACAAGTGAATGAGGGACACCAAGGAATGAGGGGTGAACGAGGGCATAGGTGAACGAGGGACACCAAGAACGAGGCAACAGGTGAACGAGGGACAAGAACGAGACACCATGAACGAGGGGACGGTGAATGAGGGACATGAGGGACACGGGTGAATGAGGGACAAGTGAAACAGGGACAATGGGTGAACGAGGGGGCACAAGGTGAACAAGAAGGACAATGCAGGAACGAGAGATACTAAGGAACGAGGGGTCAAGAACGAGGGACACCATGAACGAGGGACACTAAGTGAACGAGGGACACTAGCGAACGAGAGGGCACCAAGTGAACGAGGGACACGCAGAATGAGGGACACGTGAACGAGGGACACAGTGAACGAGACACCAGGTGAATAGAGGGACACCAAGTGAATGAGGTAATGAGGACACCAGGTGAAGAGACACAGGTGAACGAGGACACAGGTAACGAGGGACACCAGGTGAACGAGGGGCACAGAATGAGGGACAAGACGAGGGACAAGGTGAACAGGGACAAGGTGAACGAGGGGCAAGGTGAAAGAGGGAACAGAAGAGGGGCATGGAACGAGACACAGGTGAACGAGGACACTAGGTGAATGAGGGACACCAGGTGAATGAGGGACACCAGGTGAATGAGGGACACAGGTGAACGAGGGACACCAGAATGAGGACACAGGTGACGAAAACGAATGTGAGGGGACACCAGGTGAACGAGACACCAGGTGAAATGAGGGACACCAGGTGAATGAGGACAGGTGAATGAGGGACACCAGGTGAAATGAGAACAGGTGAACGAGGGACACCAGGTGAATGAGGGGCATTAGGTGAACGAGGGCATAGGTGAATGAGGGACACCATGAATGAGGGACACCAAGTGAGGCAAGGAATGAGGGACAACCAAGTGAAGAGGGACACTAGGTGAATGAGGACACAAGTAATGAGGACACTAGGTGAATGAGGGACACGGTGAATGAGGGCATAGGTGAATGAGGGACACCAAGGAATGAGGGACATGGTGAACGAGGGACACCATGAAGAGGGGCACAAGGAAGAGGGACATAGGTGAATGAGGGACACAGAACGAGGCATTATGAATGAGGGACACAGGTGAAATGAGGGACACCAAGAATGAGGGGTACTAAGTGAATGGGACACTATGAACAGGGACACGGCGAATGAGGGGGCACTGAGGAACGAGGGACACCAGGTGAACGAGGGACACAAGTGAACGAGGGGCATCATGAACGGGAGAGGGACAACCATGAACGAGGGACACAAGTGAACGAGGACAAATGGAGAATGAGGGACACTAAGTGAATGAGGGACACGGTGAACGAGGGACACCAAGTGAACGAGGGGCATCAAGTGAATGAGGGACACCATGAACGAGGGACACAAGTGAACGAGGGACACAGTGAATGAGGGGCATTATGAACGAGGGACACCAAGTGAACGAGGGACACCAGGAATGAGGGACACCAAGTGAACGAGAGGGGCATTGGTGAATGAGGGACACCAAGTGAACGAGGGACACCAAGTGAACGAGGGCATCATGAACGAGGGACACCAAGTGAACGAGGGACACCAGGAATGAGGGGCACCATGAATGAGGGACACTATGAATGAGGAATGCGAACGAGGGACACCAAGTGAACGAGGGACACTAAGAACGAGGGCACTAAGTGAACGAGGACCCTATGAATGAGGGACACCAGGTGAACGAGGGACACCCAAGTGAATGAGGGGCATTATGAACGAGGGACACAAGTGAACGAGGGACACCAAGTGAACGAGGGGCACTGGCGAACGAGGACACAAGAACGAGGGACACATAGGTGAACGAGGGGCATTATGAACGAGGGACATTCGAACGAGGGAAACAAGGAACAATGAGGGACACCAAGTGAACAGGGACAATGGTGAACGAGGGACACCAGTGAATGAGGGACACCAAGTGAAAGAGGCATCAAGTGAACGAGGGACACCAAGTGAATGAGGGACACCAAGTGAACGAGGGACACCAAGTGAATGAGGGGCATCATGAACGAGGGACACCAAGTGAACGAGGGACACTAGGTGAACAGTGGGACACCAAGGGGAGCAAGCATCAAGAACGAGGGACACTAGTAACGAGGGACACCAAGGAATGGAGGGCAATGCAAGTGAACGAGGACACCAAGTGAACGAGGGACACAAGTGAACGAGGGGCATTGGTGAACGAGGCACCAGGCAACGAGGACACCAGGTGAATGAGGGCAAGTGAACGAGAGGCCAAGTGAATGAGAGGGACACAAGGAAGAATAGGCATTGGCGAACGAGGGACACCTAGGTGAATGAGATACTAAGCAAATGAGACAAGTAATGAGGGTACAGGTGAATGAGGGACACACAAGTGAATGAGGAGGCATGAATGAGGGAAATGGTGAATGAGGGGAGGCCAAATGAGGGACACTAAGTGAATGAGGGCATTAAGTGAATGAGGGCACTAAGTGAATGAGACACTGGTGAATGAGGGACACCAGGGAACGAGGGGCATCAAGTGAAGAGGGAAGCACGTAGCAAACAGGACACCAAGAATGAGGCAAATAAGAATGAGGGACACATGAACGAGGGGCCACCAGGACTGAGACATGTAAGAGGCATCAAGTGAACGAGGAAACCAAGAACAGGCACTAGGTGAATGAGGGATACCAGGTGAATGAGGGGCAATAAGTAATGAGTACTAAGAATGAGGGACACTAAGTGAATGAGGGACAAGGTGAATGAGGGGCATTAAGTGAATGAGGGGCACTAAGCGAATGAGGGACACCAAGGATGAGGGGTACTAGAATGAGGGACAGGAAGAGAACAAGATGAAGAGGGCACAAGAACAGGACACGGTGAAGAGGGCATAAGTGAACAGAGGGACACCAGGTAAAGAGGAAACGGAGCAATGAGGGGCATTGGTGAATGAGGGACACCAGGTGAACGAGGGACACCAGGTGAACGAGAGGGCACAAGTGAACGAGGGGCATTATGAATAGAGGGACACCAGGTGAACAGGGACACCAGGTGAACGAGGGACACCAAGTGAATGAGGACACACCAGGTGAACGAGGGACACCAGGTGAACGGAGGGAGGGCAGAACGAGGGCATCAGGTGAACGAGGACACCATGAACGAGGGACACCAGGTGAACGAGGGACACCAGGTGAACAGGGACACCAGGTGAAGACGAGGGACACCAAGTGAACGAGGGACACCAGGTGAACGAGGGACACCAGGTGAACGAGGGACACCAGGTGAACGAGGGGCATCAAGTGAACGAGGGGCACCAGGTGAACGAGGGACACCAGGTGAACGAGGGGCACCAAGTGAACGAGGGCACCAAACCAGTAGCACCTCTCACCTATCTTTTATGACCAACGCTGCACAGGTGAAGAAGGTGGGCGAGACAACCCATGGCGACAGTTTCATCATCTCTATATTGCCTCAGACGACCCGCAGCAACGCTTATTATGTTGGCGAGAGAGACGTGGCACAATGGAGACGGGTGGTTGGTGGTAGAGCGAGCGTGGGAGGTAGTGATAGTGGTGGTGATGGTGCGGGTGTGGGAGGTGGTGGTAGTAGTGGTGGTGCGGGTGTAGGAGGTAGTGGAGAGAGTGGCAGAGAAGAAGGCTTAAGAGACACCATCAGTCCCCTTCTCCAACACACCACCATCAACAACAACACTACAAGCTGGTATTATCAATTCTCTCCACAACACAACACACAGACATACACCTCACCCCAATTACGAAATACCAATTATAAATCTCCCTCTACAAATTGGGTATCAGACGCTAATAGGGAGAATGAAATATGAAAACAGAATAATCAAGGAACAGAATATATCAATAGACCTGAAGATATAAACGTGGGTAAACAGGACATCTACAACAAATACAACTCCTACACCAACCGCTATAACTACCACAATTACAACTACCACAACCTCAGCAGCCCCTACAACCTCAGCAACCACAACTACGACAACAACAACTACAACCTTGGAATATTAAAAGCAAGGTTCTCAGATTCAACGCCAGAGGGAGGAACTCAGGTGAGGACTCTTTTACCTGTTGAGATGTCTCTGACGATAACGAGAGAGACTTCCTCCATGATCTCACCATCTCTTACCTCACCACCTTCCCTGAGAGATAATGGTGATGGTGATGTTGTCTCGTCTTTGTATGGTGACGTGACCTCTCTTGACCTCCTTCTATCTCTACCTCTTTATTCAAGATTCGTTTCCTCTTTATTAGCTCAGTCTTCTTCTTCTTCTTCCTTGGTTGCTGGTTCTCCATCTTCTCTTTTATCTCTTAATTCCTCTCCTTCAACTTTAAATTCTCCTCTTTCTTCCAGTTCACCTTTATCCCTTTCTCTCTCTAATTCTCTCTCTTCTTTTCCCAATTCTTCCTCCTCTCTCAATTCTCCCCCTCTCCCATTTCCCCGTCCTCTCCTACTTCTCCCTCCTCTTCTCTCAGTTCCTCCTCGTTCCTTCATCAGGGCCGTGTAGGAAGCGTGTTATGGAGGCTCGCCTCAGTGTACCACTTCCCTGATACCAAGACCTCCGATACTTTCATTATCTCACCCTTATCTGAGGCCCTCTACCTGGCGGCGACCGATGAACCTCTACTGACTCCTGTTGGCGACTTATCCTTGGTAGGTGTTGACGGTGATGACTCTGACACGTCCTCTTCCCACCCTGCAGAAGGCGATGAAGAAGGGTTAAAAAGGAAGGGTATACTGGATGATGATAATGGTGGTGGTGATGGTGAAGGGGAAATTGATAAAGAGGGAATAAGAAATAATGCGATAACTAGAGGCAATAAAGAAGGGAGAGAAGGAGAGAATGAAGATGAGAGAGAATTAGGAGAGATATATTAAATGGAGAGATGAGAGAAAGTAAGGTAAGGGATTTGGTCACGTGGTATCCCGACATCAGCCCTGGAGATGTCAACAAACAACAGCTGATCTGGAAGCCATTAGATATAAACAAAGAACAGCTGACCGAGAGACCCACAAAAACCAAAACCGAACAGCTGATCTGGAAGCCACTAGATGTAAACAGAGAACCGCTGATTGGCAGAAGACCAGAGGATGTCAACAATGAACAGTTGATCGGAAGGAAGCCAATACATGTCATCAAAGAACAGCTGGTAGTGAGGAGGCCTCCGTCAGCTACCATCACTAGTAAGCCCTATTACGTGTTACCTGGTACCCTTACCTGAACAAGTACCAACAGGTGACGGAGAATGATCTCAGTACCAGACTAATTACCTGGACGGCTGAGGACGGCAGGTGAGGTGAGCTTCAAGTTAAAATCTCGCCAGCACAAGCAATCATCATCGCCTGACACATAAATTAACGCCAGACTAACGTTCGCTCAATCTCTACTTGTGGTAATGTTGTTTAGTGATACAAGACAGAGGTCTTGTGAGCAATGTGGAAATCAGGAATCTCAGTAATCAGGAAATGCAGGAAAATCTTACTTATTTCTTCGTTGACAGATGTTCCGGTTGTTGGTTGATGACTCTGTGAGTATATCAACCTAACCTAACCTAACCATATCGTGTGTCAATAACGTTATCTTCTATGTGATGATAATACTTTCAACTTATTTTTAACCTGAAGCTGAAGATAAAATCAAGATCGCCTTTTTTTACCAGTCAAGTAGGATTCTATTTTACAAAGAGGGTGTAAACATCTATTTTGCACTCTAAGTACACAACAAACAATAAACATAACATGAAATAAATAAATTGATAATATGTCAGACGTAAACAGAGAAATACCTTGGTTTTACAGTATATACGCATTACATAAACGACATTGTATATCTATATTTTCTCTTCGTCGTGACCTGGATATATTTATCGACTTTCTTTTGTTATTGTCAATGTTATTTACAAATATATAAATGATTGGAGTCATCGTGGATAATGATATAAGCGTTTTAATTACCTTTATAAAGCTCAAGAGATTTATAGTAATTTAAGTATAGGTGTTGAGAGAGGTTAAGACAACGATAAGACTTCGAGTTCCGATGGAGAGTTATAGTGAAGACAAAAACATCACCAGAAAGCGAAACAAAAACTTATTAATGTCTCACTGGTAACATGAAGACTTATAGAACCATTTGAAAGGAGATGTTTATATAATACTTCTTTCCAAGTTATTACTGAGAGCTGTAGAAGATGGAAGCATTATTAAAATACAAGGAAAGTCTTATTACCTTTCCTGTAGTGAATTGAAGACCCAGAGTTAATTAGTCTCAGGTAAAAATGAATCTTAAGGAATTCTTTAATAGGACTTTACAGGTGAGTATAATTATCTCTGGGAAAATTATAGAGCATTATAGCAAATATTTTTATAATGAGTTTCTTATATAGAGACTAATAAGGGAAGTTTATTAATATTTCAAAGTATAATATAAATTGCCTCTAAGATTCAGCAGTACGAGCCTAATAAGTAAAATAGAGACAAAAAATACAAAAATAATAAATGAATAAACAGGAAAAAGAAAACGTGAATAAAGATGAAATAAGCAAACATGAATAAAGATGGAATAAGCAAACATGAATAAAGAAGTAATAAGCAAACATGAATAAAGATGGAATAAACAAACATGAATAATGATGGAATAAGCAAACAAGAATAAAGATGGAATAAACAACATACATACAGACACACACACTTACCTGCTCACACTTCTATATAAATCTGTGTAAATATTTTCCCTACCAAGAGTATCTACGAATTTCATGTTTTTCGAAATTTGTGTCAAAATACGTTTCCTTATTTAACACGTGGGGCTTGGGGGGGGGGAGGAGGAGGAGGAGGATGAAGAGGAGGGAAGAAGAGGAGGAGTGAAGAGAGATGGAAGGAGGAGGAGGAGAGGGGAGGAGGATGAAGTGGAAAAATATGAGGAGGAGGAAGAGGAGTAGGACGGGGAAGAGCAGGAAGAGAAGGAGGAAGAGCAGGAAGAGAAGGAGGAAGAGCAGGAAGAGAAGGAGGAACAGCAGGAGAGGAGGAAGGGGAAGAGGAGCAGGTGCTTTTGATGTGTTTTTTCATATTAATGTGTGTGAGAGAAAGAGAGAGAGAAAGAGACACACACGTCATCTCTACACAACAAAAACAACAACAACAAATATCTCTTTTATCTCCTCGTTCCTCATCTCATAATATCTCTCTGTCTCTCTATCTCTCACAGTACCCAGCAGTATAAGGTCTTCGGGAAGGCTTTTGACAGACAATTGTATAGAAGTGATCCCAATTATTTTAATGATGTAGGGTTGGATTCCTCTTACCACCGGTGTTGGATTACCTTCCTGTGTACACTCCAGACTGTCTATTGCTTTTTGTCTTATCGATTCTGGCATCTATGATTTTATATATAAACAAATGACAACAACGGAGAATAACTGAGGGTGATAATGATGGTAATAATGAAAATAGGTAATAATAATGACATGATAATTATGATAATGATAATAACTGTAGATATTAATGACTACTATAATGACTGATAATGGTAATAACTGTAGATATTAATGACTACTATAATTATAATAATGGTAATAACTGTAGATACACGACTTTCATAATGACTGATAATGATAATAACCGGTAGATATTAATGACTACTATAATGACTGATAATGGTAATAACTGTAGATATTAATGACTACTATAATTATAATAATGATAATGACTGTAGATATTAATGACTACTATAATGACTGATAATGATAATAACTGTAGATATTAATGACTACTATAATGACTGATAATGATAATAACTGTAGATATTAATGACTACTATAATGACTGATAATGATAATAACTGTAGATATTAATGACTACTATAATGACTGATAATGATAATAACTGTAGATATTAATGACTATAATGACTGATAATGATAATAACTGTAGATATTAATGACTACTATAATGACTGATAATGATAATAACTGTAGATATTAATGACTACTATAATGACTGATAATGATAATAACTGTAGATATTAATGACTACTATAATGACTGATAATGATAATAACTGTAGATATTAATGACTACTATAATGACTAATAATGATAATAACTGTAGATATTAATGACTACTATAATGACTGATAATGATAATAACTGTAGATATTAATGACTACTATAATGACTGATAATGGTAATAACTGTAGATATTAATGACTACTATAACGACTGGTAAATGATAATAACTGCAGATATTAATGACTACTATAATGACTGATAATGATAACTGCAGATATTAATGACTACTATAACGACTGGTAAATGATAATAACTGCAGATATTAATGACTACTATAATGACGATAATGATAATAACTGCAGACATTAATGACTACTATAATGACTGATAATGATAATAACTGTAGATATTAATGACTACTATAATGACCATAATGGTAATAACTGTAGATATTAATGACCTATAATGACGATAATGATAATAACTGTAGATATTAATGACAAATATAATGACCATAATGATAATAACTGTAGATATTAATGATTTATAATGACTGATAATGATAATAACTATAGATATTAATGACTACTATAATGACTGATAATGATAATAACTGTATACATTAATACTACTATAATGACTGATAATGATAACTGTAGACACTAATGACTACTATATTGACTGATAATAATAACTGTAGATATTAATGACTACTATAATGACTATAATGGTAATAACTGTGATATTAATGACTACTATAATGACTGATAATGATAATAACTGTAGATATTAATGAGTACTATAATGACTGATAATGATAATAACTGTAGATATTAATGACTATATAATGACTGATAATGGTAATAACTGTAGATATTAATGACTACTATAATGACTGATAATGATAATAACTGAGATATTAATGACTACTATAATGTATACTTAACCATTAGAGAAATATATGATTCAATTTACTTGAATAAAATACTTAAGGGTCCGAACATGTACTAATTATGTTAACAAGTAATAAGAGACAATGATGTATGA